GGGGTCATCTGCAAACAAGTTGTCATCGGGCACGTGCCCTCCCCCTCGTAGTACTTCATGTACACATGCCTCCCCATCTCTCCATCCACCCCCTTTGCCCTGAAGATGCATAGGCACCTTGCGTACCACTCTCCCTCGTCTAGGTTAATCACGGCCATGTCTGAAAACCACTTCTCTGATGGGCTTGCCTTCACAAACGTGTCCTTCGGCACAAGCTCCCCACCTCGGGTTCAGGGTATTGCCACAGCGGTGTGCACCTGCGCATGACGGTCAACATGAGGGCAATTCTGGTGACTTGACACACAAGTACCAAGACTCTAGCACGAGGGTGACCCTCATGTACATAGACGAGCGGCCCACGATAGTGGTCCACATGCCACACGAAAACGCATAAATGCAGGCCTCACCACGATGGATGGGGACGGGAGGCCTGCCGCCCTCATGCACCCTGCGAGTGCGTCCATGTCGGACCCATGTGCCTCGCGATACACCCACATAACTGCGTCCAGGTCCTCGTCCACATTTGCCGGATGGGATTTCTTCGTCAGGACGGGTTTGCGCGTCCGTACAGCATGTGTGCACAAGGAATGTGATACAGTCGCTGAATGATTCCATGCGGTTACCGCACTCCGACACAATACGTCATGCTACATGGTGTCACAGACTGCGTGCCGTGTACTGAACCTACCTCGCGCAGTGCCGTCACATACTGCTTGTTGCCGCCTGCGTCTGCGGACACCTCCCGCGCTATCTCGCACTGCACCTCCTCCTCGATAATGCGGTATGGAATGTCCTGCCAGTTGCTTCCTCGCACCGGCACCTTCACTGTGCCCTTGTGTGTGTGCTCCCATAGGTTCGTGGATGTCTCGTGCATCAACCCACGCATAGGGATGCCGGCAATCAGGTGCACAATCTGGTGCATCTTCGGGATGTTCCAGCCTGAGATCTGGTCAGGAAACGCAGCGACGATTGCCTCCATCCTTCTGCACACCGGCACATGAGGCAGATATAAGTCCGGATGTAATGGCACAGCACACCTTTAGTACACGTCGTTGCACACCACTCCCCATACTACACATATACATTCCTAAAATCTGAAAGTTAGTGCACACCAGGTGTGCACGAATCACGGAACTTACGTCACTCCCATTGCTCTGACGTCGTCCAGGGTGTCATCCATGTGCTTTGTCACGCCGACAAGCGCCTTGTAGAAGCTGGCGTATGCCACAAATGCCGCCATCTCCCGTTGCCATTTCTCCTTCGCCGCTGGTTTGCTCTTCGCCATACTGTCGGCAATCAGCAAGGGCATCACCTGCATCATCCCCCTGTGCTCAAAGGCAGCGTAGTTTGCCCCACTGCTAAAACATGTGGTCCCTCCTGGTATGCGCACCACACTTGCGCGCGTGTCCTTCTTTTGCTCCTTGCGGCGCCTGCCAACCCACCCATCTACGGTCAGCCACGTGCATTGCATGTTCATCATGCGGCAGCTAGAAATATCCGGATGAGAGTGTACACACCTCTCAAATTCCCTTCGCTCTGGCTTGCTCTTCCCCACCATGAAGCACTTGCCCATGCGTGGGAGCATGCCCGCGTCCAGGACATGAAGAAGGTCCGCGGCGCATGCAAGGAACACGTTGCCCCATGTTGTCTCTGCGAAGTTCCACCTCTCCAAGTAACATTGCCGCGGTGTGCATCGACACACAAAGATGAGCATTGTTAGCTGGTTAGTCCCTCTCCACACGCTGAAGTCTACTAATGCATTATGTGGTACTTGGATCTCACCTGCAACTGGTGTGTCGACCATCGCTTTTTGATTTTCTCGGCCGCCTTAGAGGCCGGGGCCGACTGGATTGCAGCCACTACTCGTCTATGGAGCTCTACGGTCTGCACCACTGACTCCTGCGTAATGTTGGACATATGTGTTTCCTTGGTGTAGCACGACGAGCACGGCCGGTGCGATCCTTGCTGCATCGTTGCTGTGGATCTTGACGACTCAGGGTAGTCACCAAGCTGTCCGAAAAGACATGGAAACGCCTTGACCACCTTTCCCGTAGCATCGGTGACGTAGAACCATCGTAGCTCTGCACTGCACGTGTGGCCACACCGAATGTCAGATACGTGTCTCATCCATCATACTATGCTTGTAACATCCACTGCTCCCCTTACCCTCGGTGTGCCCTGAGTAATGGCTCAAAAATCACTTCCATGCACGCCTGGAATACTTGTGTCTTCTCTGTTGTCGATGCCCACTCTGGCGGGAATGGCAGCACTCCCGCCATGAGGTGTCCCGGCTCCTGCCAGCGTAGCGCTTCCAGGATGTTGTAGAGACTGATGAGTACCGGCCACGCAGCAAGCCTGCCGTTCCTGGATGCGTCCGTGCTGTCGCTGTACACGATCACCCCCAGCACAATGCAGTCTTCGTCTGGCATGCTGGCTTGTGCACGTTGGGAGACCGGTATTAGGACTAGCATGTCGAGAGTAAAGGTTAAGTGAAGACTAGGTTTTAGGCTTAGGAAAGTGGCGAGAGAAAATGCAAGCCAAAAGAGGGGTTCAATAGTAGAGGGCATACAAGATATAGGCAAGGAATTAGGCAAATGGTACACCACCTAGCAGGAAACTAAGATAACTACACTAGGCTATTGTAGGCATTTATATGAATGTATACAAATACATTTCAACATAGCATACATTGAGCTGGGCGCAATCGTCTACAATGGCCATACACCTCACATGCGCTTCGTGGCACCACTTCCCAGTGTCCGGCGTGCTGTGGTGTCGTACGTCCTCGATTTCCTCCTCGTCCGTGCGCGGTTTGGTGACAAACCCCACGATGTGCTGAAATGCCTGTAACAACTTCTTCACCAGCTGCCAAACACACACCCACTACGTGTTAAGGGATGAGTAGAACAATTAGTAAATCTATACATCGTCATTCCATGTATGCGGAGTGACTCTAGTTTTTCTCACCAGCTCCGTGTCCCGGTAGTGCAACAGCAGCGTGCACATCCTCCCACTTGATTCGTAGCACTTGACGCCCTTCGTCTTCCATGGGACCTGGTCAACTGGTGCCCTTTCGCGCCCAAACCGTCTAACATCCACGAAATTGAGCCACCTCCGCACGTCCCTCAAAGAGAACTTAGGGTTCTGGAAAATGCTGAGCAGTCAGTTCACCTCTCGTCGCGACAAATCGGCTTCGCGGAAGAAGATGTACAGCTCTATGAGAGTATTGAAGCCGTCGTCTATCTCTGACATAACACTCTCCTCCCCATCGCTCTCCTCAGAGGGAACTATGGGATCGTCTGTTTGATCGACAACTGCAGCAGGGTCCACTTCTCCGTCCAACGCCGAAGCGCCTGCATTGCTGTTTGTAGAACGCATGGGTTTTTGGGGCCTGGCTCCGCGCCTGGCTCGGAGCGCGTCCCGGTACGCCTCCACTAGCCGCTGGGCACGGGAGTGTTGAATCTTGTGCCTGCATTTAATATTGTTAGACACATGCGACTGGAGTGTGTTGTCGTCAACATGTTCCTGTCCGCACGCCTTGCAGGCGTTGCCCAGCATTGCGAGAGCTTGTGCTAACGCTAACTTCCACCTACCGATAAGGCTGTTCGTCCATCGGACGGAGCAATATGTGCCTGAATGTTTGCAACAGTTGCAGGGCTCTCCCAGCTCAGTTCCAGCGGTATAAACCGGTGATGTCCATATGACATTTGGCACGTCAGTTGACCGCGTTAATTGAAACTCAACGGCACGGTGTGTAGCGGTCAATTTAGCGTCGGGCCCGGTATCAGCTTGCCCAGCGAGCCGTACTTGTACTGTACTTCCCACTCAGTTGCTAAGTTCTACTTATGATTTTGTGTTTAGCCCACCATTCGTTCTGTCCAACTGTGGCCTTCTATGTTCGCTATGGAACAAACCCGCTAAAAGTATCACCCACTCCTTCATTCCGGATACAGTACTATCCGCGGAATGTAAGTTCCTGGTCGGCGGTCAAAATACATTGACTATCTTCTTTTACACTATACTCAAAATCAGGGATAGGAAAACTACTGCTTTGATTGGATCAGTGTTGAGAACACATAAATTCTGAAATCCCAGTCTCCACAAAGTGGAAAGCCTGAAATCAGGGTAATTACCTTGATAAAAACAGCCATGGGTGCCCTGTGAGGGAACCGTTGGATTGACTCAATATTTGTGATGTGGGTGTTCCATATTGGCTTTCCTTAACACGTATTGGCTTTCCACGTATTCATGCCTTTCGTCCATATGGTACGGTATGGCCCCGCACTCATGCTTTCACCTGAAAATACATTGCAGAACATCCTCGTACCACATCGATTCCCACAGCCAGCCACATAGTTTCGCCGCCCCCGGGGGCCAGCCCGACCACTCTCTCTCAGGTGTCTCCAGACGATTGCAAATTGGTTTGGTAGCTAGCCAGTGAAGGCTCCATCAATCTCATCAGTGACAGACAGCATTACTACAGGTGGAAAGGAAATCAAACTCTACAGCATGCCCTGGAGTACTGACCTCACGACCTTCCTGGAATACCAGCCTTGAAGCGGGGAGTGGTTGCAGCGATGCTGTGCCAATAACTATACAGATGGATCACAAGACGGTAGTGTGAACGGGTTGTATAGCCTTGTGTTCACTGTCAGTAGGTCAGTAAAGCAGAGAAGGTTTGAAGACTGCCGCTGAGATCAAGGCTGGCAAAGGCATCATCTCATCGCTGCAGCTGGCAGTGCAGCAGGCCGCTAAGAGGGGAGCGGCAGAGAGGGCAGCTGTTATTCTGCTGACGGTGCTGTGCCATGCAGTCACCGCAAAACTGGAAGTGCACTGGAAAGGTACGGGATTGGCAGGAAAGGGACATTGCGCCAGGGGGGTTGAAGGACAAAGTGAGGGAGGAAAGGCGGGGAAATTACAGCGGGATACTTGCAGCACAAAAAGGCAATAAAAAGAAGGCTGTACAATGCAAAAGGTGGTGGTAAATGCGAGGCACTTACTGCATGGGAGAAGCAGAACATTTCGTTCCTGCAGGCAAGACGAGACGAGCCAAAGAAAGAAAACAAGAGGTGGAGTATTGTTATATAGGTGGTCACAAACGTCACTACCATAACGTGGTATAACGGTATCAGCAGTGTATTCACATATGAACCAAAAACTACATGGTGAAATAGTTCCCAAACTTGTAGGTCATCAGCAACGCACATGCCAGGTGCCAGCTCATGGCTCTCGCATTGATGAAACGCATTTCATGCGTGCAGGGAGACAAGAGATATACTAGTCATGCAGCAGAGAGCGAAGTAAACCGTGCAATATCATGAATGGTGCAGCACATACAGCAACCAGGTTGAGCAGACCATAGGTGAGAAAGGCCTACCTTGGTGTAGCAGATGCGGCAGGTGCTGCGATCCCTCTCTGCTTCCTGTCACAGTGATGGCAGGCAGATGGGAAAACAAAGGGTGCGGTCACGCGCAGTGCACCACAGCATGCTATGCTTAAGCAACAAAGGCGCCTAGAATACCACGAAAAAAGAAGCTAAGTCCCAGAATGATTACGCAAGGGTTGAACGGAAAGGCAGCAGCATGGATTGCACCAACACAGACGAATCAGGAAAAAATGGATACCTCTATTTCAGGGAAGGAGCAAGGACACAAGAAGATAGAACAGAGAGAGAGAAAACCCTGAAAAAGCTGGCAATATGAAACAGGAAGAGGAAAAGGAAAAAAGTCGAGGTAGCGAACAAGAGCAGCAACCAGCATCGAGCAACAACACCCAGCCCAGGGGGGCGTCAATATGGCACCCACCAGCAGAGCCGCAACGGCAGCATGTTGGCTCCTCTCCTCGCCAAGCTCCCTCTCCAGCCGCCCACACCGCTGCTGCCTCATCTCCGCCTCCTGCCTCGCCCTCTGTGCTGCTGCTAGCTCTCTGCGCGCTGCATGCCTGGCAAGTATGGTAGGGAGGGACAGGAGAGAGGAAAGGGGAAGGACGGAAGAGGGGGTGCGTTAATGGAAGGGAAGGGAGTTTAGGATGACGTGATGAAGAATGAATGGCAGTAAATATGGACGACAGCGGATATGAATGATTGGTTGAATGGCAGGTAATGGTGACGTGTTGACACCAGTCCCACCACTTCACTCACCTCACCACACACTCGCTCAATGACAAAAAACACTTTACTCCCACCCAGCACACAATCTCTCACGGACAAGCACACACAGAGTCTCACCCAACACCCGCTCTCCCACAGACACACAGGCACGCACTGTCTCGTCTCACCGCTCTCTCTGGATGACGGAGTGCATGGACGTGTCCACCACACGCAGCAGCCGCTCAGTCGCATGGCGCAGCACCACCAGCTCCCGGTAGCTCGCCTGTTCCGCACGCTGCTCGTCCACCAGCAGGAAAGCACTGCAGCAGCAAGAGAAAGAGAAAGAGAAAGAGACCGTAATGGCGGTGTGGAGGAGGACAAAGAGAAAGAGCGATTGACAAAAGGGCGGCTGATGCAGAGTCAAATTGTACAACCTTTCCTATCCATCTTAGCTACCTAAATTTCTCACAAGGAACCATTCTCCTTAAACAAAAGACACCATTTTCTCTCACCATGTCTTCTGGTTCAGCTCGTGTAGCATTTCTTGGTTATCTCCCCACCTTTCCTCCTTATTCAAGAGCACTCGTTCCTCACGCGTCTTGCACTACTCTCTTTTCACTCACCCTGCACTGTCCCCGTCTCACCCGTTCTGCACGGTGCGCATGAAGTCGAGGTTCTTCTCATATGGTCGGTACAGCTCCTCCAGAGCCCGCCTCGCTGCCACCTCCTCAAAACCAAAGTGCTCCTCCGCCTCCATGCACAGGCGGTCCTGTGCAGACAAATTGCAGAAAAAATCAACACCAGCTTGTAACTATGACATTGCCTGCCTGGTCCTTCGACCAAACAGGCAGCTTCCAGTGCCATCCCGAAGCCGATTTTATGTCGTTGTTCTGCGATTGAAAACACACTTGCACCAATGAAGGATCTTGCCCCATACCTGAAGCTGAGCTTCGTTCCACTTTCTCAACTCTTCCTCTTGGTTAAATGTCTGAATTCAGATATTAGACAAAAAAAGAAACGGAAATGTAAACAGGAAGAAAGAGGAAGAGGAGGAAACGAGGAACTTGGAATGAGGTTCAAGGTATAAGACACGAAACACGCAAAAAAAAGAGAAGCAATAACGGCCAGCCAAATAAAAAGGTCAAATTATGTTGGAAGAGACTGATGCTGAAAAACGATCACTATTAAATTGGACGTAGAAGCTGCTTGGCCAAGGAATGCAATATCTCACGACAATCACAAATGCATGGCTCAAGACAATGGCGAGAGAGAGAGAGAGAAAAAAACAATGCCATACTTCCTTGTAATTTCCTGTGGTTTCTCCGCTCTCCTTCCTTGCAAGGCAGGACATCCTTCAATGCATATTTCAGCACAAGATTTCAATGAAAGTCTAACCTCTACTTCTTCGGTTACTTCTATCGGCGGTGAACCGTTCGCGAGATTCATAACCTCGATTGCCTCAATCTCCTCCTCCATCTCCAGAAACGCCTCTTCCTGCTGCGTCGCAGGTCGCATGGCTATCCAACGGTAAGCAAAACGTAATACTTGAATAATGGTTCCAGACGGTTTCTAAATAAGTCAAACGGCGATCTTACTGGGCCGTTCTGTAGCTACTCTCATCCTGAATCAACACGCGCAGGCTGGACTACTCATAACCTACATTCAAGCAACTCCATTTCGATGCTCCGAGCTACATTGATGTAGCATTGGTTCAAGTGACACAAACGGGTAGTCACGAAGCCTGCTGATGCAGTGGGCTAGGCTATAGCTGCGCTGTGCTTGACCACAAAGGCTTCTGCTGTGGTTTGTTAGCAGAGTAGTGTGGGTGGGAGGAGGGAAGCAGGAATGCCCGAGAGTGATTGGCCAGGTCTTGTTCCTGTCAGGAGCTGGCGTCAACTGGACGACATCCTTGTTTTGAAGGGAATCGATAAATTGATCATAGAAGTATCGACTTGAACTAACCAGAACGCAAAATCCATTTAAATCACGTAGTTACACTAAACTTTCAATGTAGAGAACTAAATACAGGAGAGGCTATTCGTGGATGAACTAACCACGCAAACTGGAATACAAAGCCCTACGTACCACTTTTCAAGCATGCATCCTAGCGCTCGTGGCACTGTAGCTAAACCACCTAAGTGTATCTCACAAGCACTCGTCACAACCGCCTCAGGTTGTCTAGCCGTGCCTGCAAGTCACTGTCAATCCCGGAATCATCCGACGCACCACCAACCGACGGGGCTGCTGATGGGGCACTGGGCATTCCACCACCCCCACCCCCACCACCACCCCCACTTCCGCCACCATCACCACCGCTGCTACCACCACGACCCATCCCACCTCCCCCCCCCCCTCCGCCGCCCCCACCTGCACCCACTGCATCTGCCTGTGCCACCTTGCCTGTTGTCTGTGCCTGCGGGACTGCTGGTGTTGGAGCATTCATGAGCTGATAAGGGACGAGGAGGGGGTGCGGGGGGAGTAGAGTAGGGATGGGGGTATATGGTGTGAAAAGAGAGCAGTGAGAGAGGAATGCAAAGCAGGCATGTGTGAGGCCACGTCAATGCCATGAAACACACCATGGCGAATCAGAGACCCAGTGACACAGTGCCATGGGTTTGCAGGGACAGCATGCATGAGAGAGTAGGGCAGAGACACCCTCCACTGCATGGTACAGCGAGCACGTGCCTCCTGGCCATGCAGGGAGAAACCACCTGCTGGTTGATGTTGATGCCGATCTCATCCAGCACTTACATTGATCACCTCCTCCGTCTCCTCCTCCCCTACCTCAACATTAAGTCGATCATGCAGTGAGAAGTCACCCGCTGGTTGATGTCGTAACCAATCTCATCCAGCACTTCATTAATCAGCTCCTCCTCCTCCTCATTGATAGCCCGCTAGAACATCCAACTGCTGGCCATCCAGAGAGCATACAACTGTTGCACCAGCATGCAGGCAGCAGCACGCACCTGCTGGTTGATGTCGATGCCAATCTCATCCAGCACCTCGTTGATCAGCTCCTCCGTCTCCTCCTCCTCCTCGTCGCCCTCCATGGCATCGTCTATGGCGTCACCCATCATCTCTGACGTCATCTCCATGCGCTCATTCGCCATCTCAAACTCCCGCATCACCTGCACACGCAAGGGGACACGGACGTGGAAGCATAGAGAACAGTTTGGGGTGTGTGGAAGCAGTGCCTCTCAGTGCCTCGGATGTCATCTCCATGCGCTCATTCGCCATCTCAAACTCCCGCATCACCTGCACCCAACAGCCAAACACATACACGGAACCACACAACACGTTGGGCTGTGTACAAGCAAGCATCCCAAGGTACTCAAAGCCTCCAGTGCCATATGTGTAAAGTCATTGGCCATCTCACTCACACTCTGCATAACCTCAAGTCTGCAAAAAAAAAAAAAAAAAAACTGAATGTGCTGGGGCCAGGGTTGCGAATGGCAAGACCCGGGATCCAGCCACCAGCAATAGAAAATAAGACGAAGTGGGTTTGAACTTGAAAAGAGAAACAGACCATCTCATGGAGGTCCTGAGCAGTTATTGGATCATGAAAGGCTATGCAGCTAGCTAGCATGTCCAATGAAGGGCTCACTCTATGATGTTTAAGCTTAATGGCTCTCAGAAGTAGGAATGGACTCTCTTACCTTCTGTAGTGCAGGCAAGTTCGTAGATTGTATGGCCTTGGCCACTCCTTCAACCTCAAGATGTTAATGAGATTTAAGAAAAGCCATGTCACCTTACATTGATCACACACCTCACCTTTTGCAGAGCCGGCAGGTTGAGCTGCTTGTTCGTGGGTCGCATGGCCTTAATCATCCCCTTCATCGCATCATCATCATACACATCCCATCTGGGTTCAGGCACTCTGAGAGGTACAAACAGACTCTCTTCTGACGCACCTTCTGCATGGCGGGCAGGTTGAGCTGCTTGTTCATGGATCGCATGGCCTTGGTCACCCCCTTCATAGCGTCTGCCATAGCCTGGGTGGACTTGAGGGTCTGCAGGTGGTGTGGTGCCAGGGGGAGGGGGGGGGGGAAGGAGGGGAGAGATGGGGAAAGGGTGGACGTGAGGCATGGATCACATGGCCTTGGTCACACCTTCATAGCGTCTGCCATAGCCTGGGTGGACTTGAGGGTCTGCAGGGACACAGGAAGGGAAAGAGGGGAGAGATGCGGACAGGGTGCGAGCGGGGTGGAGAGTGGAGGAGATGGAGAAGGGTGTTGAGGTGCCTGAAAGATCGTCCCGTGACTTGGGTCGCCTTGAGGGTCTGCTGGGGCGCTGGGGGGAGCACAATGGGGGAAATCAATGGAACGGAAGGCGGGGAAAGACGGGGTAAAGGTGGGAGTGGGGTGAGGGGGTAGTGGGAGAGGGGAGAGGGGACGTGACGCTTGAAGAGCACCAAGAGGGGGGAGAGGTGGATGAAGGAGAGGCTGATCGGAGAGCGTGCAAATGGTGGCAGTGATTTCAATGTATCACAAACAGAGATGCACGAGGCAAGAGCACAAAACGCCTGAGTCACTCTAGGTTTTTTTTTCAAAAGTGACACGGGGCAGAGAAGTGCGAAGAAATGGCCCAAAATAGCTTGGAAAAGGCTGGAGCATGGCATCAGGAGTGGAGTGCGTGCGCACGCGCGCGCGCGCGCGTGTGTGTGTGTGTGTGCGTGCGTGTGTGCGTGTGTGTGTGTGTGTGTGTGTCACCTGTATCCGCAGGGACACGCCCTGCAGCTGGGACTTGAGCCCGTAGAACTTGGTGATCTGATGCCGCGTGCGGATGAGATCCTTGGCCATCACCCGCACCGCACCCTGTTTCCCAAGAGGACATGCGCCGGGAGAAAAGGGGGGTACGGGATTAGGAGTGAGAATGGGACTGAGACTGAAGGAGAGGGAGGCATGGAGGGGAACGGAGGGATGAAGGGGAATGGAGCTCATTGTTGCATGTGCACACATGCTGGACGCCTTGTCATTGCTGGTGTGCGGAGGAGCTTTTCATGGTGCATGCACATGACGTATACGTGTTGTGTGAATTTCATGCGTTTACTCTGTTTCTTCCAAGCAAGCTCGCGCCACCTCCTCTTGTTTCACTAACCTCTTAACATCAGCCATGCCAACACATCATCTCCATCATCGTTCACCAGAGGGTGCACTCACCATCTGCCCTTCCTTCGCCGACTTCTTGATGTCAGCCACGAGCTTCTTCTCCTGCTGCTGCAAACAACATCTACACCAGATACATCCATGCCAAACACATCCATGCCAAACACATCCATGCAAACACATCATCTCCATCATCATTCACCGCAGGGTGCACTCACCATCTGTCCTTGCTTCGCCGACTTCTTGATATCAGCCACGAGCTTCTTCTCCTGCTGCTGCAGCTGCGCCCGCTCGCGGTCCAGCTCCCGTATCGACCGGTCCAGCATGCGCTTGTTCTCCCGCAGGATCTCTGGTTGGTCGGGTACGAAGCAAGCACTGGGAATGCATTGAAGAGAGTGCGATGACATGACATGCGCTTTTTCTCCCGCGAAATCTCTGGTCAGGTGTGGAGAAAGCATTGGGAACAGTGCAACGATTCATCCTGCGCTTGCGCTGTGCTTCCGCTATGTCTCTACTCAGGTGCTCTGGAAGCTGTGAGCCAAGGAAAACGAGTTCCTCAATTTTCGCCGTCAAACGCGCAGTATGGCAACTGATCGCACGCTTTGGTGGAAAACAAGTGGAAAGCGAGGTGCAATCCCGCAGGGGTTACATAAATGGAAAAACGCACACGGCGGGACTTCAAGCAACGAAATGTGTATCGCAACTCATAGGAGTTGTGACGCCCGCATCAGTAAGATTCCCGACAAAGATTCCATGACAAAGATGAAACACATCGCGCTGAACTAGCGCAATTTCCGACGTTCCCGTGCTCAATGCTGAGAAGCGATGTTGGTTATACTAAGATTACCTGATGGCGTCTTCTTTTTTCCAAATAAGAGGTCCATGGCGCCGGATTACTTCTAGTTGGCAGCAGAAAGAGAAAGTCTGCGTCCACCGTAGTTCCACCAATCCGCGTCTAAGACACAAGTCGCTACTAATGGGCGAATGGGTGGACCGGAATTGCCGTGTGCAAGGACTCCGTACTGACAAGTTTCTTTTGTCCGACCCGTGCTGTTGTAGGGCTAGAAAGAAATGGCCACGCGTGATGACGATACCTAGTCACAGTTCGCATGGCAGGGTAAACCAGATATTTGGCTACCGAAAAGCACCTACTCTCGCTGTTTGACGGTACTACGTGTCGTACCGTAGTTATAGCTTTCACGGCCTATAATGGCTAAGGTCAACATTTGGGGATTCTGTTCATGGAGGTTGACTGACGAGCATGCGCCGATTCAGCAAACAAACACACGGAATGGGGAAGGTGCGAGGAAGCAAAAGTGAGGTGGTGTGGGATGAAATTGGGTGAGATGAAAAATCAGTGCGGTGAAGGGCTCTCAATGCCGCTGACTCCTGGTGTTAGTCGGATGAGTGTGGTCCAGGCCCAGTGACGTACCCGTTATGGGCAAATATGAAGGGCACCCGTATTGTCTGGAATGGACTAGATGACTATCAACATTGGCGAGATTTTCCTCCCATTGTCCCGCTTACCATGCTTCAGGACACAGAATGGTAGTAAATATCAGCCAGTGTATATGGTTGCAATGCAATGCAACCCCAGCGACTTCAAATCACACAGGCTCTGCCCTAAGCATGTAACATATAACCTACCTAACAAACAACTCTCCACTTCACAGTCCAGCCAAATGCAAAATGATCCTAAAAAAACACCTGAAAAACACTCCAAACAACCCTTTTCCAGGTAATCTATTCAGTGAGACCAGCGTTGTCAATGTCAACGGAGCCCATGCCCTCGTCCTCATCCTCGCTGTCCACGTCACCATCCACCTCCACGTTGGCATCTGTCAGCTTCTGCATGTGCTCTGCCAGCAACCGATCATCACGGTCACTTACCTGTAGGATGGAGGGGATGGAGGGGAGGGGGACACACAGGAGCAGAGAGCGAGAAAGTGAGGGGTTGACGGGGAAAGGTTAGGAACCAATCCGTATGAGCACAGCTTCTGCATGTGCGCTGCCAGCAACCAATTATCACGTTCGCTCAACTGTGTGGAAACAGCAGTAGAGGAGGGGGGGATACAGGAGAGGAGGGTGCGGGAGGGATGGACGGGCAGGTGAGGGGAGAAGCAGTAAGATCAGAGATTCTGCAAGCGCTTTGGCAGTGAGGGCAATAGATGCAGGAGCATCTAGCACAGCACATGACAACACAAGCACCCACTCACCGCTCGCGGCGCCTCCTTGACTGTGAGCTTGCCCTTGTGCTTGTCGATCTCCTCGCTCGCTGCTCTGATGGCCCGCTCCAACACTGCTATGCCCTTGTCCTGATTGCACCACACGTTGTGGGAGAGCGTGGGGGGAGAGTGAAGGGGGGATGGGGGGGGGGGAGAGGGGGACGAAACGGATTAGTCGACTCACAAGACACTCGCTGCTCTGATGGCCCGCTCCAACACTGCTATGCCCTTGTCCTGATGGCACCACACGTTGTGGGAGAGCGAAGGAGATAGTGAAGGGGGGAGTGGAGGGGAGCGGAGACGAAATGGAACAGTCGACTCACAGAATGAATCGCCAAGATGTGGACAATCACTTGAAAAGTCAAGTGAACACCGCTGTAAAGTGCAAAAGAACAAGAGTGGCTAACACACATGAGAGCAGAGTGCGCACTAGCTAGCAAGTGCACCTTGGCAAGAGTGAAGGTGGTGAGGACGTAGAGGGGCGGCGCCACGAGCACAATGCGCACTGCACAGTCCTCCTCGCCCTCCTGCTCTGCCCGGCGCATGGCGTCCTGGAGAGAGGGCATGGTGAGGGCAGGGGAAGGGGCAACGGTGAGGGCGAGGAGGGGAAAATAACGAGTGCTCAGTTGCGAGAGGGCAGGGGCAGCGCAAGGGAAGGGGCAAGGACGGGTGGGGAGGTGTGGTTGGGGGGACAGATGTGTGTGTTCAGTCCAGACACACTCAACTCAATCCTCCTCCTCGCCCTACTGCTCCACTCAGAACACAACATCTTGGAGAGAGGACAGGGGTGGGGCATGGGAAGAGGATAGGGTGGCGAAAGGGGTGAACGAAGCATAGAGAGTGAGGACAGGGAAAAGGACGAGGGCAGGAAAATGGAGGGCGACTCTTGAATCACGGTGACTTTTAACCCGTCAGTGGCGTACCTTGATGTGCGGCACGCCGTCGTAGTGGAAGCACAGCACTTCAGCTCAATGTCAGGACTCAGGTCAAAGGCGTTGACTGGAGATGAAATCTGCGACAGTAAAGAATACAGGAAGACATCGTAGTGGAAGCAAGTCTGCAGTGCGGTGCGGCGCACCTTGATGTGCAGCACGCCATCGTAGTGGAAGCACTTGAGCTCGATGTCAGCTCGGATCTTGAGGGGCTGTGGGGTCATTCTGCGCCGGATGTTGGCAATCAGGTTCGCCTTCACGTCCTCCACCATTGCTGGCACCTCCCTCTTCACCTGCCGCATGCACACAGAGAGAATAGAAGGGTGGGAGGTGGAAGGTGGTAGGGTGAAAGGAAGCGGGAGGAAGGGTAAGGAGGACAGGGAGGTGACATTAACAGGTTCGCCTTCACGTCCTCTGGCATTGCCGGCACCTCCCTCTTCACCTGCCGCGTGCAGACAATGGGTGGAACGGTGGGAGGGTGAGAGTGCGGGAGGATGCAAGGGTGGGAGGGTGAGAAAGTGGGAGGGTAACTAGGGTGGGGGAGGGAGAGGTGCGAGGTTGAGGGGGCGAAGGGAAGGGAAGACAGGGCCGTGACACTGACAGGAAGGGGAATGGCGGTATGCAAATTAGAAAGGTTTAGTGTCACCCAACTCCTCACATACACCAACCAAGAATGGCTCCCTTTCAGCACCGAAAAAACTCACCCTTCTTCCAGCCTTCCCAACTGTACGCTGAGCTGAGGACTAACTGGACTACCCCCCTTGTTGCATCCCAAGCAATAACTGAACTTACCTCCTTGCCGTCCTCTCCTGTCTCGGTGATCTCCTTCGTGAGTCCTCCTAACACCGCCTCTGGATCCGTCACCACCAGCTTGAACGCCTGCCATGGGTTGTGGATTATGGGTGGGTCATGAGTCATCATGGGTTGAGTGTCACGGGTCATGGGTCACAGGGTCATGTGTCATCGGTCATGCTTAAGGGTCATGGGTCATGCGTCATCTGACACAATCATGCACCGAGCGCGATGAATCATGCAGAACCATATCAGCATTCATGGGCATAAGGAACTGGTAAGGGCTCTATCCAAGGGACTCTTCGAGTGAGATTCTGGTCGAAGGGCTCAAAATGCGGTGCGGCCCAGATCCTCAAATCTCAGGCACTCCAACCACAACCACCTCCTCAAATACATTCGATATAACTGCTCCAATTCACGCAAAAGCTCTCTGAAACAAGAATGTTCTCCGCCTGAAACTCTTAGCCGGTTCATTTCGACTTGTTGCGAACAGGTCATTACATTGAATTCTAGGTAACCCCCAGCAGCAGGGGTAGTTCCGCTCTCACCTCAAATGCGTGTCCGTATTTGCGGTACAGCGGCCACGTCACGTTCGTGTATAGCTCCTGCACCGCGACAACAAAATTCGGGAAGGGAGGAGGCAGGGGGGAAGGGAAGGCGGGGGGAAGAGGGGGGGGGGGGGGGGGGGGGGGGGGGCGGAATAGGAGGGAGGAGAGGGGGACGGGAAAGGGGGAAGGGTGGTCGAAGGGGCGCCAAGAAGTCGGAAGAAAAAGCGGAAGTCTTAAAATAAGCCATGGGTGGATAGAGGGAGAAGGGTTTAACAACGGGGACGCTGTGAGCAAATACTCGCAAGGATCGCCTAATGAGCGAGAGACAACTGTAGAATCGATCAACGGAATTCTGGACCGTGCGATCGTTCGCACCTCGACATCGACGCCGGACGTCTCTGCCACGTGGCGCATGATGCTGTGAACCATCTTGGACTTGTTGTACTTCTCCTCGCAGGCCGCCACCTCCTCCTCCGATACACGCCGCTTCGATAAATCGATATAACCCTTCTGCTTGTCCACGCGGACCACCATGACGGGCTCTTGCCGGCCGACTTTGATCAGACTCGATATAGAGCGAATGCGACGACGGGACAGCTCCGATAGGAGAATCATACCCTCGATACTGTTGTACTCAAGAAGCGATACGTACGCGCCCATATCGGCGATGTTCTTAACTTGAACCATCACCACCTGCTCTACCTCTGGAAACTTCGCCTCGTACATTCTACAGTCGACGTTCGGCATGGCTGCTGGCTTTTCGCAGAGATAATATTTAAAGATCTGATTCAAGGATTCGCGCGGTAAGAAGAGAAACGGATCAGTGCACAATCAAAGTGAGCGGAAATGCGACTGCAGGAAACGGATCAGGCGCTATCAGCGTTGCGTGTGACTGATACTAGGTATGCCCCCAAGTCCCACACCCACTCTTTCCTTTTTTCCTTTTTTTTTTTTTTTCTCCCCCCCCCCCCCCCCCCCCCTTCACCCGTGATTCCTTTGCATTTCAGGGCTTGCATAGCCCGCACATCTTGCCACTTCCCTTTTTTTTTTTTTTTTTGCTCTCTATCTCTTTCTCTCTTGTTCGCATGTACCGTAGGCTTCCATGCCGTATAGGTGTTCCCCGCTTCAGGTTCTTCCACACCTCAAGAGCGCATGCTCCCTTTTTTTTTTTTTTTTTTTTTTTTTCAAGCGAGTCCAACAACTTTGTCCATTAGGCCTTCCCATTCATTCAAAAGAGCATACAAGCATTACTTGCAATCACATGTTCACCTAGGACTCCTAGTCCTACACCCCTTGCCTTGGGGTAGGCCCGCGGCCTTTCTAACATCCCCTATGGGATAGGCCAGCGGCCTTTGCACTCCCTAGTGCCATCATCTCCATTCAAGCCTCTCGGCACCGCCCCCTAGGGCGTTCACACCACCGGTGCCGGCCCTTGGGCTCCTCCCCCATTTTCCGGGCAAGCATTGGCCATGTGGCCTGGCTGCCCACAACGGAAGCATGAGCCACGAAAGCTCCTTCCATTGCCGTCAAATGGGGGGCCGCGCTTGTTGCCAAATGCCATGGGCCCGCGCCCTCCGCCACGTGGGGTACGGTTGAAATTGCCTTGTGCGCGCTCCATCGCCGCCACGTCCGCGACGGCTTGCTTGGACGGGTGTGAGGTGAAGACGCTCTTATCTTCGTAGAGCTTGAAGCGATTTGCCGTGCGGAAGTTGGTGTAGTCGGCGACGTGGAGTAGCTTGAAGCGGTTGGTGATAAGTGTGAAAGCTTCGCCAAGGTATTCGAGGGCGCTTTCCGGCTCGTTGTGTCGCACCTTGTGCTCTGCATGCTTCAGGTATGCCCGCAGGTGTTCCAGGACCTCGGCTTGCTCGCGCACGGCGGCGTTCTTGAACGAGGCGGCGGTTAGAGTGGGATTGGGAGACGGGAGTGGGGGGAGTTGCTCAACGGGTGCAAAAGCGGCATTTAAGGCATGTGCCTCACCATCGTCGTCGTCTTCATTGTCGCTGTCGATGGGGTTGTTCATGACTGGAGCGGCAGCGGCGCCTGTGTCTTCGCCCCTTCCGGTTTTTGTCGTGCGAGCGCGCTTCACAGACTCCGTTTTCGCCTTTTCGCTTTTAGCAGAAACGGAAGTCGTGTTCGGTGTAGCGATTTCTTCCGTAACGGCAGGGGCCTGCTGCTGTAACAGGGACAAAAGCTGCTGCAGTTGGGCTGCAGTGAAGCTTGGCGCCACTTGCGCGTCAGGCCCCACAGGCGCGTCAGGGCCCACAGGCGCGTCAGGGCCCACGGGCCTGCGGCGCTGACGCGGACGCGGGGTGCCAACCGCGCTGGTTGGCGCCGACTTGGCGCCTTCTGTCGCGGCCAGCGCCTGAGGGGCCACAGGGGCTCGAGGCACACCAGGGGCGTGTGCCTCGACTCCAGGGGCGTGAGCCTCGGTCGCGCCCAGCAGTACGTCGACGCCAGTCGGGGAAATTTCCCCGTCGTCTGCCCGACGCTTGTTAGGACGATCGCCGGCAATTTCGCGTGCGTTTCTTCCGGACTCGGGTCGAACAGAGGCGGTAGCGGTATTACCCTCGCCGTCGTTAAGTGCCATGGTTGCTGCGTTGTGAGCGAAAATGTCAGAGAGTAAAGTCGACGGGGATTGAAATCGGGGAAGAGACTTCAACTTCGCCAGCTTGAGAGTGGGAGACGAGAGTTGAGAATGAAAATCGGCTAAACCGTTTGAAAATGAGAGACGTGGGTGGAGGGAAATGACCTCCAGCCCACGTTTTGTACTCCAAAACGGGTGTTTAGCGCGGCTCGACGCTGCCAAATCCTACATTACAAGCAGCTTCGCTTTCAAAATACATAATTTTGAAAAGCGTTACAGCTTTTAAAAATATACATATTGTGTTGTCGCTAGATTCCAACACTCACGGTTGCAAATATTTGGGGAAGCCTAGCAGACACCGTAGACAAATTGTCACCCAGCCTTGTCTGCAAACTCGCTTACCCGTCTTCTATGAGAGTAATCTGTTCTCTTGTTCCCTTGAGCTGCATGTTTGCGCTTGGTCAATTTACTCACTAGCCATGTTGGAAGATAAACTGACATCGATACTGCAGAAGTATCTCGGGGAATACTTCTCTGGACTGTCGAAGGAAGCGCTGAAAGTTAGTGTGTGGAAAGGTGGGATACGTGTGGATTCAGTTTTACCGCAGAAGATGCAGATATTTAGTTATCTTATTAGCGATTCCTGGGTTTTCAGGTGACATTGAGCTCAAGAATATTAGCTTGCGACCTGAAGCGCTTAGACGCCTGCAGTTACCAGTTGTAATAAAGTCAGGAATCGTGAAGGCCTTGCGCGTTCAGGTTAGTCGAGAATTCCAGCGACCCGTTTCAAGCAGGAATAGCATCAGATGCCACGGGTACCTGAATTATAAATCATGTCTTATCATAATCTCAGATACCATGGAAGAGCCTCGGAAGGTCATCAATCGTCATTCATCTGGACGGACTTGAGCTCTTACTTGGACCCAACGAGTCTGTCTTTCTTGATCCGGCATCAGCTCTGAACGCCAAGCGCAAGCGCGTTCAAGTAAGCATCTGCGCATCATCCTGCTACTTCCTTTTCATGATCCCCTCGTCTTAAACGTTCTATTTCCTCAGGATGCAGAGGAGCTGATCCTGTCTCGACGCGATGCCAGCGTCGGAAAAGACACCGTAAGTGCTATCAAAGCTGACCTATCCAGCTTTTTTTAGAGGAGATTGTGGTCGCACGTTGTTCATAGTAGCTATTATTGCTAACCTGCAGGGAGATACCAGAACCTGGTTGAGCACCATTGTGGATGGTGTGATCGGGAACCTCAAGCTAAGCATCTCCAACATACACGTTCGATACGAAGACTCATTGAGGTGGTTAACGCTAGCGTGATCCTTTCATCATGTGCAACTGCTACTGATTTTTCTTGGTTTGTCTTTCAGTCAAATCCATGGACCCGCAGCTGTGGGAATCCAACTTGACAGGCTTGCTGCCTTTTCCGTTGACAAGGATGGAAAGGAGACTTACGTGTCCGGTGGAGAGCTTGATTGCACTAGAAAGGTATACGATTGATAGTTGACCTAGCATGGCACTTTCTTGCATATGGGAGAAGGCTGACATGACAAATTTGTGATTTTCAGGCTCTGGAGCTACATGGTCTATCAGTGTATTGCCAGCCATCATTGAATGACATGACGGTATGGCGTGTGTCGATCAGATTGTCTGCCTCTTTGTTTTTCTGGATACTGAACCTATAGTGTCTTGGTGGTACAGACTGCATCAAGCGATCGCTGGCAGTTTTCAACTTCTGAATATTTGGTCGAGCCTTTGAATGGAGCAGCATCATACAGTCGTGCAGGAAAGAACCAGACTGCGTTCTTGTGCACCCCTCAACAAGATTTCACAGTGACGCTTGACAGTGTTTCATTTGCGCTTTCGGAGGTCTGTGGTCATTCGTTAGCAAAAAATAAGGATTTGTGTTTTGCAATAAGCAGCATTTCACAGTTCGATTCTGATGACTGCAGGACCAGTATCGGCTGATTATGAAGCTTGTTGACAAGTTTGCAGCTGCCCAACGGCGGCAAGAGTTGGCTGATATCCGACCTTCGTGCGGCATTCAAGAATGTCCTTCAGCATGGTGGACATTTGCAATAAAGGCAACAATGAAGAAAATAAAGAAGGGGCGGTAGGTGGTGCCATAGCCTGTGTTCTCTTCGTTCACCCTTGTTAGTTAAAGTGTATGACGGATTAGTCTGTTCCAGACCTAACGCATTCAACATTTCAACAATTGCAGATCCTTCACGGACTGGAATGAGCTCATTCGCCGCACCAGAATAAGGAATGCATACACCCCCTTGTATGCCAAGCACCTTCTCCGAAGAGCTGTCCAAAAGCCCTTTGAAAGGAATCAGGAGCTTTTGTCCTTGGAGACGGATGTTGAACCAGAGGTTTGCTGCAGTGGAGGTAATTTATGTCTATACATACATGTATATGTGTATATACTAGGACACACAAATCACCATGATGTTTCTCCTTTTGCAGGCTTGTCTCTCATGAGCTCTTTTCACAAGAAATGAAAAAACAGAAGGTGAAAGCTCCTAGGTGAGCATGGTATTTGTTGTTTTTTTCTCGTTTTGCTCATGTCCATGTCTGATTCTTTTTATCATGAGTTGTTGTTCAGAAACACTGCCCTCCCGACCCAGCTTGATGCTGAAGACTGGACTCAGTTGCAAGCGCTATTACCCGAGGCTACAAACAGCGAGACCACAGTTTCTGAGATTGTGCATACACGGTGGTCTGTTCATGTGAAGGAAAGCAGATCAGTTATCAAGGATTCCCATGGCGTTTCGCTTTTGAGCCTCAACTGCAAGAGGATTCAAGTTGCATCCAGTATGCATTTGGAAACCACAGATATCCATGTTCAAGTTGGACCATACTGTGTTGAGTCACCAGAGGGAGCTTTTTTGGAGTGGGCAAGGCCCAGAGAACACCCTGGATTTTCTATGTGTGATGCATCCCAAGGGACAGAACTTGGACTGGTTATTACATGGCTCAGTTCAGCAGGCTCATGTTCTGGTATGCAGCATTTATTCTCATCTCGCCAATGTAAATAGAAAATGGCAATGGTTAAACAGTCCACATGTACTACTGTTCGCAGTTCATCAAGTCAAGCTTGAACCGCATCATTGAATTCTTTCAGAGTAGCGACGCCTTGAGTCCTGCTCTTGCATTGGACACTGCTGACGCTTTTGAGGTATTAGTATTCCCCTGTATGCTTCATTTCTGGTTGGTGATCTTTTGTGGCCTCTGACATTTGCTGTTTATCTGTTTGTTTGTTTGGTTCTTTCCCAGCAAGCTGTTGAAGAAATCAAACGCCAGGCTCAGGCACAGCTGACGAACTTCATGCGCTCTGTTTCCCGGTATATGCTGTCATCTCGATTTCTTGCTTAATTCTTGCCAAAAATTGTCGAAACGGCCTTCATTTCTGTCGTTTTTTTTTTCTGGCTTGCAGATTTGAGGTTGTCCTTGATGTGTTTGCTCCTGAAATCACAGTCCCATCTCTGTCCGAAGGCTTCCAAAGCACCAAATTGGTGTTAAATCTTGGCCATCTATTCCTTAATTCTAGGGCGCAGGTGGGTCAAGGCATATACGGTTTTGAGTTATTGCTGCTACTCTATCCTGTCGATGATTTTCGTTTTTTGTTTTGCAGCCAAACCATGCATCCACATCAACCACGACCTCGGACCTGTACATGAAGTTCCATGCCAAATTGGAAAACGTTTCAGCCTGTTTCCAGATTGTCAACGCTTCTGCAAGACTCGGGTACCAACCTGCAGCCACAGAATCACATACACTGAAATCGATTCCTGTGTTGGAAGACTGCACTTTCGTGTCATCAATTGAACAGGTGGGGATGCGTTTTTGCCGCTCACAGTTTGATTTTTTGTGTTCGAAGACAATTTAATTTGTCGTTTCCGTTTCATGCAGATCTGGGTACCTCAGCCTGATTTTCCAACTTTGAGGATCAGTGCAAGGGCTCCATCTCTGGAAGTTCACTTTTCTCCTGAGATACTCCATTGCCTTTTGAGATCAGCTGAGGCTTTGCGGGGATGTGACTCCCAAACTGCATCTGTTGTGCCCTGGGAGTCTGCTGACTACAAAGGCTGCATTCACGTTCTCATAAGACAGGTGTGCATTGTGAGTGGAAATCGCATTGACACTGTCAAGGTTATTATGCTGACTGATGTGTAAGTGTGGCTTGTTGTAGGGCATATCTAGTACTGAATTTGCTTGGCAAAAGAGGGTGGGGGCTGTGGCTGGGCCCTTCCTGTACATACTACCCCTGGAAAATAGTCGTTCCTACAAGCAGCGGATCAGGTGGGAGCGTGCATTGTTTTCAGTATTTTTCTCTTCTTCTTGCCGCAACCATGACTAAGTCTGACTTGCTTCGATGCAGCCTTCGAAACAAGATTCTTCTCTGTCTTACACAAAATGGCACCAGTGGGCTGGAGAATGCCCTTGTGATTTGCCCTCCTGGCTGCACTGAGGAGAAGGTACGTGGAGCTTTTGTCCTCTCGTGCTTTCCATTGCAATATTTTTGTTGAAATTTTGGTTTGGTATATGCTGCAGGCTGTGAGAACCTCAACCGCCATGTTTTTCAAGCCGGATTCTGCGGTGGCTTATGAAGCTTGGTAGTCCATCCTGCTTTCTGCCATTCACCGAGCATCTGTAGGTGTTCAAAACCAGATGTTGTTCATACGCTTATGCAAAATCTGTGCGTATTTAATGAGCCTTTTCATTTCATGTTCAGGATGCAGCGTTGTCTCAGTTGAGTGAAGTCTCGTCGCTGGGGTCCCAACACCAGCCACATGTCCGACCAGCTGATTCTGTGGCAGTGTTCTTTGTTGGAGAAATGGGTACTTTGCGGATGACATTGCATGGGAAGGTAAGGTAGTGCACAGAATTTTCGGGTGATACATTTTTCTCACTATCATTAACCTCGTTTCTTTTCTCTGCTGTTCAGAATTGTCACCTTCCGGATGTGCACTCAGTGACTGAGACTCCCCTTGTGGTTCTTGAGGCCTCGAATGCTGTGGTGAGTGATGTTGGTTCATTTCCCCTTTTCACAGTGCTTCTATAACTGACAACATTGTAACGATTCATAAGTTGCCGTATGCAGGTCGAAACCACACTCCTTGAAAACTCGGACCTTATTCTTGGAGCGGCTCTTTCATCACTTGAAGTCAAAGATCTTGTCTCGTGCGATGCTGGGCCGGCATGCCGGTTTCTTGCTCGATCCAGCGAGATGTTGAGAACCCCCAGCATGCCGAAGGACTGGTCTCTAAATAAGGAAGAGACGAGTGAGGTGTTTCATGATGCCAATGAATTGTCATTTCCGACGCATCCATCGCAAGAAACGAGTGGTCACCGGTCGAGCCTTTGGAGCATGTCAGACTATTACGATGCTGTGGACTTTCCAGTGGATGGTGGAGATAAGCCGCTGACAACCGACGAAGTTCCTTCTCTTGAAAGCAGGCCTGCCTTGTTGGACCGACCTTGGAAGAGGTCAAGGGCTTTTGTCCAAGTCCAGTACATCATGCGCGTTCTAGATTCTCCAGAGTTTTCCGGCGTGAATGCTGAGGTATTTGTTTCAATCCCCCCCATGTTCTCAGCTCTACTTTGGATAAGTCCCTAATCGCGCTCATTTTTTTTTGCAGCTAATGTTGGACCTGAGTGGGTTGAGCTTTTATTGCAACCGACCCACTGTCCTGGCACTGATTGGAGCGTCCTTAGACATGGCCGCTGTGCCCTGTTTTGCACCCGAACCAGCAAAGTCACAACCTGGAAGTGCAGCAGATCCTAGCTCTCTACCAGTGAAGGCAGAGATAGCAGAGAAGAAAGAGACGGCACTTTTCAGGTTGAATCTTTGTGTGGGGGACTTGCGGATTACTTTGAATGGAGATAATGGCCTTCCCCTTGCAGTGCTCACAAAACAGAAGCTTATGTTCCAGTTACAGGTGAAGTTTGGTCAAGTCTTGCTGCTCATGTTCAAGCTGCCATAAACTAGCTTCTCACGAATCAGGCATTACTTGCAGGTCTGTGCAAGCTCGTTTCTGCTTGATGCTGAGCTTGGTCAGCTGCGAATCTGCGACCTCAGCTTGGGTGAAGGCCACGAATATGGCCTGATGTTTTCCCCAAGAAGCAGTGAAGGCCAATCTTTCGCAAAGGTAACCATTTCTTTTGTGAGCCGTTTATTCATCTCCTGGTTGCTACAGCCATTTGACCTCCATCCGTGTCCCTGTCTTAGTGCAGATTATGCTGACAAGCTCCAGCATTAGTTCAAACGGAGGTGGTTCCGACCGAATACTCTCTCAGTGTTCAGACCTCTGAAATTCGAGTGGTCTACCTTAACCGTTTTATTCAAGAAGTGAGTGACGATTTCTACAAACCTTTTGTCTTCTCCATCTGTTTAGTGTTTCTGCTCCTGTTATTTCTCGTTCATTTACGACCATCGGTTTTCATGGCTATGACAAACTATTTTTCAGGTTACGTCATACCTTTCCGGGCTCTCACCACCACCTGAAGAAGACACAGAACTGGTTCTTCATTCTCCTGAATCTGTCAAAGACCCGTCTGCACATGCTGTCGATGCAACAATAACACCAATCAAGCTCGCTGTCTTGTTTGGCGAGTTACTGCTGCTGCTCCCAGAATCTTCCGCAAGCGAAAAGTATGTATATGTATATCCGTGCTATCTTGATTCCGAGTGTTCGCTCTATTTTCCGTGTCTTATGTTCTTGTGTTTGATGTGAGCAGCTACCTTGAGTTCGATGTGGGAAGGCTGGAGATTTCAAATTCGATTGAAGTCTTGAAGCTGCTTGGTGATGGCAAGTCAATTCACGATGTTAGCCTGGACGTCATGAAAGTGGAGGTAAGGCCTGGTTTTTTATGCCAGTGTGTCCTTGGACCTTTTTTTATTGATATTTGATTCTTTGTGCCGTTGTACTTCATCCTTATAACAGATTGATGGCATTCGCCTGCATGCGATGACCAAGGGTCATGTCACTGACAATATGATCGAGAGGCTTGTGGGCCTTCAGGTGTTTATTGAGAGACCTTTGGGTGATCCCACTGGCCTCTTGCCTGGCTGCCATATTTCAGTGAAGGTGACTAATGGCTGTGTCCCGTTTCTGACCTCGTTTTTGGTCCCAAATATGTGGAAGGAGTTTTATCAAAATTTTGTGCCTGCAGGTTGGGCATCTCCAAGGAGGAATGTGCAGTGCAGAGTACGCAACTGTTCTTGACTGTGTTTCTGGAATTTTTTCGGAAATGCCACGGACGATCTCGGTTTCCACGGCAGCACGTGATTCCACTCCAGTGGCCTCCATGACACCATTGAAGCATGTGGATGTGAAATCATCTGTCCATATCCAGTCTCTTGCACTCCTCTTGTATGAAGGATCTTCACGTGAAGCCACATTCGCCAAACTTCAGGTAATACCTTGCCTTCAGCTTAAGAGGTTATTCCTCGTCATGGGTTAACCTGTGAGCTGGACTAATTTCCATGAACAATGTTTCGGCAGGTTTCAAATCTAACTATTCGCCACTTCCTGCACAGCGGAGGCATCTCGCAGCTGTTTCTGTCTATTTTTCAGGTTTTTATCAAAGATCTGACCTCTGGAGTCGCAGCAGAGGAGCGCTGGGTTTTGGGGATTGTCGATGACATGGAAAGAGTGATGTCAACAGTGGGATCTGAAAGTGCATCTTCTGCAGAATGGCCAACTCATCTCTCTTTGCTTCCTTTTGAATCAAGTGGGGCTGAGCATATTCACCCGTCACTGCCAATGCTGATTTTGGAATCTCAATTCACAGGTGATGTTCAGTGCATGTCACTCAGGATTCAGCGCCCCCGACTGTTGCTGGCTCCGCCATTCATTTCCCACCTTTCAAGTTTCTTCACTCGCTCTGAGGATGTTGAAGCTGTATCTGCTGCTGTTCCTCGATGGGAAGACGCTTTTCACCTTCACACACCATACACGCTTCAGCAAACGCCTGGTGTTTTAGAGATTTCCTCTCAGAAGCCTCTTGTTGCTGATGCGCCTGGTGTGTCAAGTTTTACTTTTGATGGGAACGGGGGTTCCATCGAACTGCTGACTGCTGGGCTCACCGAAGCTACTGCTGCTGAAGCTTTTCTCATCATCGTCGGCCCAGGAAAACACCTCCGATTTAAGAACGTCCACATCTATGTAAGTTACTCAGCATACAATGTGTTATTTCTTTCTGTCTGTAAGTGTGTGAGTAAGCAACTGCTCTTGAATCATGACCCTTCATGCAGGGAGCTGAATGGCTTGCCTGTGTGGTCAAGCTGGGAGTCAGAAGTAGTTATTCAGTGGATGAAGCTGATGGTGTCAAGTTGCTGCCGATGCGCCCAAAAGATCGACCATCTCAGCAGCTTGACAAGCCCAAATCTCCGCAGCATGTGCCTGAACCATCTTCTGGGCATTGGAAGTTCAATCTCCAAGTGAGTAGTTTTTCCTGTGTTTCTATATGCTTGCAAAAGACCTGTTGCACCAGTCTAAAATCGGCATATATCTGGTGTACAATCTGTGATCCATTTGCATACACAGGCAATTGGGTTGGAGTTAATTGCCATAGATCAGGCACGATGGGCAGCAATACAATTATCTTCTCCAGAGAATCTTTTGAGGCTCAAGACTTCTCTGTATCTCAGGTGTGACGTCCTCCGCAAGCCTTCTCTGTTTTTAACCAGATTCCATGTTCGTGGTTTGAGTATTGTAAACTTTTCTTTTATGTCCTGATGCAGCATCCAAACTGTGCGAGGCATGTCGGAGGTGAACATCGCAGTCAGGTCATCTGGGATCAGCACAGGCTCAGGGTTGTGCTTGATAGAGCCTGTTGATTCTAGAATGAGGTTCACATCCTCAACAGGCTACACGGACATCCAGTTTTCAGTTTCTGATCTGCATACGCACTTCACGTTCAACACGCTGGAGCTCATCCTGAGGATGCAGGAAAATTACATGAGCTCCGTGTACAGTGTTGCTGAAAATCCTCGGCATTTGTGCTTGCAGTTCAAGAAGGTGTGGGCCTATGCAGGTTAGTGGAAAAGCCTTTCCGTTGGTTCACAAGGACTCAGTGAATGGGCACCAAGGTTCACAGATA